ATATATATTAAAAAATGAGACATTAAAATCAAATTTCTCTGATATTATTGTAAGTAGGAAAGACATAGTGATTAAGGTGTTCTCTAAATTTTCTGGGTCTTCAAAGAAGTGGGCACTGAGAGAAATTTGAGAGAAAATGTCTTGTTCCATAGATCGGCTTCCTTTTCTTCCCCAGAAAAGAATGCAATTTAGAGTCCAAGAAAATACCTTGAAGAAGACCAGCATCTTTCTGTTGTGTGAGACTTTTCAAGTGACCAGTAGTAGGACACTCCCTTGTGCCTACGGAGAAAATGCCTAATGAGGTGATAAAGTCTGTCACCCTAAGAGTCAAAGCCTCATACACTTTTTTGTTTGTTTGTTTGTGTGGCTGCCTTTTGCAGAAGAACTTACCAACTCATAATGATATTTTACATTTAGGCTTTTCATATCTAGTTATTGATATTTTGTTTTAAAGATAATTAACCTCCTTTTTGTTGGTCATAATTTAAGAAAGCTTCTTGTATTTTTATTTTTTTAAATCCTGGGGACTGAACTCAAGGCCTTCACAATAAACCAAATCTGAATTCCTTTTTAATTTACTTTGAGACAGGGTCTCAGGAAGTTGCTAATTACCCAGGTTGAATTTAAACTATGCTACTCCTGCTGGAGCATCATGTGAACTAGGAAAAAAAAAAGTGGGGTCAAGAATTAGAGGATCTTAATTTTAACCCAGCTTGTACTGGGTATCTGGTTTTACTAGAAATGTTTGTTAGACTTGAGATCTTAGACAATTTCTTTAACCTTTCTAAACACAATTTCTTCATAGATTGTTTTAGGAGCTAAATAAAATAATATTTGCAAAACTATATAAATGGCTGAAAATTATGAGTATTTTTGCTACTCCTAGTACTACAATTTTTACAACATAACATCAGTTTACCAGAAAGCATATTTTCTCTCAAATAAATATCTGTTTCCATGATGGTGGACTCAGCCAATGGAAGCTGTTTTCTTTTAAGGCAAAGTTTGCAGATTCACCACTGGCATTCTTTGTAATGCTACTCAGCCTGAGATTGTGGATTCCAAGAAACAAGAAAGAAATAGAAGAAAGCAAAGAGAGTGGGCTTAGGTACTGCACCTTGTCCAGAAAAGAATCCTGGCTCTTTGTTGTTGCTGATGCTTATAATAAGGATTTTACACAGTGAAAATTTTGTTTTGCACATGCTGTATATCTTAGTCACTTTTCTTACTGCTGAGACACAATAGCTGATACCCACAACTTAAAGGAGAGGTTTATTTGGGCAGTTTAGTCCACAGTTGTCAGGCTCCAATGCAAGATGGCATGACTGAGGGTCACAGAAAAGGAAAAGCTGCTTACTTCATGGCAGCCAGAAAGCAGAGGGTGGGGCAGGAAAGAGGGAGAAGCAGCCAGGGATAAAGATATTCCCTTCTAGGTCCCTCCCCAATGATCTGCTTCTTCTGACCTGACCCATTTAACATTAATTGCTTTCCAATACTCCCATCTTTGAATATATGAAACTCTGAGGGGACATTCTCCATTTAAACTGTGGTATCATATTTGATCATACTAAAAGGAAGTCAGCAAAGGTAGAGGTAAAAAAACACTAGAGGAAAAGGAATGAAAAAAAGATCTCTCAATGTCTTGTTAGGAATCTTGTGTGATTGCATGAAGATGAAAATATTCAGTGCAGACTCTGGATTCAATTCCCTGTATTAAAAAAAAAAAAAAGAGGAGGAGGACAAAGAAGAAGAGGAGGAGTAGGAGAAAAAGGAAATTACTCAGACCAAATAAAATAAAACAGTTAAAAAATGATGGAGATTTTTCATAATTATTATAATATTGAACAGAAAGTTAATATAAATATTATTAATAATGGTCATCAGCATTTTTAGTCTTACTGTGTGTCGTGTTGTATTAAGCACTTTATATGCATCATTTCATTTAATATATACTATTGCTTTGTGAATGAAGGTTTTAAAAATTATATTTTTGGATGAAGAAGCTAAGAACTAAGTGATCACCACACAGAAGTAGTGGCAGAAACAAAATCTGGAACCAGATCTGCCCACCTCTTAAAAAATATTGCTCTTAGCTATTATGTAATCATATCAAAGGCTCTCCTCCTCATGTAGTGCGTGAGGGGCATTTCAATGGGCAAAAGAGAAACTCTACTAAGCATTTGGAAACTCAATTTCAAACT